TTAGTTTCATTAGTTTTGGACTTTTGGTTTAGTTTATTAATTGAACCAAAACCACTTTGAAATCAGTTCAAATTTATTTGGTTCCTTTTGCTCCACTAAACAGAGGCGCATCGAAAATCAAACCATACTTGGGTCAGTTGGGTGTGTTCCATGTTCGGAGATTGGTTAGCGACTAACGCATAATTGATTAAACGGAGATTATACATGGATTAAACAGATATTTGTTTTAAGATTTTTTGAAGAAAATCATTAATTTTATAATAAAAATTATATACACTTCTTTTTGTCACAAACAGAGTTAGAGGAGGAAGAAGAGCATCAGAAAGCACAAAGAGCATCAAAAGGCACAAAATTCTCCAAATAATACTCCAAGACTTCTAGCCAATTGGCAGTTGTTGGGCGGGAATTTTTCATGTGTAAATTCTTAAGCTTCGATGTGGCTTTAGGGTGGTAGATGACGACAACATGGACTAACCCATAGCTATTTAAACCTTTTAGCCATGCTATGAAATCTTTGTCCGAGGTCAGTAAAACCACCACTCCTTTACTTCTCGTAGCAATGAAATAAAACCACAATCTCACAAATTCTTTTTTGATGAAATTATCAGAGACTTATTTATTTTTTCCTGTAATTCCCACAGACTTCATTCTAGATCCATACTTGCATAGTTCATAATCCATAAAGCTTTTGATAACAAATTTTGATAATTGTGGCTATGTAATGTTGTACTAATCTACCACCTGACTAAAGCGTCTATGGAGATCATCAATTTCCCGTCAACAACGGTGGATTGGCTACAAGATTTCCTACCTTGGTTAACAGATTTCCAATACGGCAAGTCTCCCTTTCTGCTACAACTCTTAAAAAAGCTATTCTACCACAAAACCATATGCCATCTAAGAACATATTTATGGCAGGTCGGATAAATATGGCATGTTGCCCGCGAGGAATATCATTCAATTCGAAATCCTAATATAGGTATCATCGTGATTCAAATTCATGACCTAATACACATCAAAAGCAAAATAAGTAAGCAGATAG